CCGGCGGCGCGGGCGCTGCAGGGCTGCGCAGCGCGGCCTCCCCGCTGCCCCCTCTCCCTCCTTCCTAGGGGTGTTGGAGGGCTGCCCTCGAACCGCCGTTTGTCCCCATTCGCGGGCACTTCGGAGCCGCTTTCACCGCTTGTGGCAGCGGGAGCTGATTTACCAGCTCCCATGGGAAATAATCAACCTGTATCAACAGCACAAATCAGAATATGGACCTCAAGCCCATGAAGTCCCCCTGCAAGCCATCCTCATCCTCCCTGGGGCAGCCTGGCCTCACGCTTCTCTTCCTATGTAGAAACTTTTCCTAATGCCCAACCTGGGCCTCCCTAGGAGCAACGTGAGGCTGTTTCCTCTTGGCCTAGYTTAAATCAAACGTGGCCAACCCAAACCATTACCACTAAAGCCCTATGATAGCTGATAACAATATAAAACCAGTCCTCAAATGTGGCCTAAATCATCCATCCTTACTTAGCAGCCCTGGTGTAGATCATCTGTTTTTATAGGAACAARCTTAGCTCTGTGTCATTTTTCTGAAGTTCCTGTATATTCCCCCTCTCTAATAAAAGCTAAGTTTATCCCCCTGATGCATTCCTTTATTCCAAGGTTTCCTGCATGTGCAATACGTGGCTTGACAAACATTAGTAATTCTTGCTGATGATGAGCAACTTATTAATGGAGAAACGTGAGAACGTTTCCCAGATGTGTCACATACATGAACTTTTTTATCTAACAGTATAGACCATGATTAAGGCAAAACAAAACGAAAAAATACTCCTTCCCTAGCCTCAACTCACATCACTTGAAATAGAAGATTTGGTTACAAACCCTTAATTTGAGATAGTTTGCAAACTATGTCTTCCTAGAAAAAAAAAACAAAAAAGTAGTATGTTTTGTGATCCTCAACAGAACATATTTTGAGTATTGAAATCATGTAATCTGAGCTCTTTTTCCCTGAGGCTGAAAGTACCTGCTCTATAAATCCTGTCACCCAAATGCTGTCGATGACGAGCGCTTCTATCCTGCAGCAGAGCGTTATCAGATGACCGACCGCCTTATAGACAAACAGGCTCATTTCTCCTGGAAGCATGGAATGAGTCACATCCTGACAAAAAAGCAGGTCTCCACCTGTAAACAGTTTCAAGACAAGAATTCAGCTTGCTGTAATCAACTGTTCCTATAAAAGAGAGTGCAAGAATAGCTTAGGAAACATAAATGGATGTTCTCTGTATTTGAAAATGGTGCAAATAAAAATGGCCAAATGGCAGATAATCATTTTGTACTTGTCTGTGGCACAGCAAAAAAAGCGCTTTTGTACAACAAAAGTATTCTTGTTACAAGTTTTTTTTTTTTGCTATCATCTTAAATGTAATGCTTAACTGCTATTTTTAAAAAATATGAGTTAAAAAACTGTGCTGACCTGAATGTTACAGCACAGCACAGCACAGTTTGTCAACCACTTAGCTGAAGAGTCCTCCTAAAAAAAGTACTCCCAGAATATCATAATTCCATGGTGGACACCGAACACCTAATAAACTGTTAAGTTCAACTTTGAGCAGTCATTACTACTGTTTGACTCAAAGTCCAGCAGTGTGCCAAGTTTCAGGGTTTTTGGAAGAGAGATGGGGGGAAAGGAGGGAATAACACCCTCTAACTAACACGTTTTCTTTGCAAGAAATAAGATTTGTCACAAGGGTCACAAAGAATTTGGTCTGATGATTTTATCAAATCAGAATCTATCATTATTGTTAACGCTGTGGACAATGCATGTCACCGAGAAATGGTGTCCAAACATTGCAGTGCTACTGAATGCAACAGCTGCAACATGAGAGTTGTTTTTATGGACTCAGTGTATGAAATGGCTCTCTGAGACAAGAGCTTGAGGAATCTGGTCAACTTCATGGAGGATATACATGCTAGACATGCAACCTTTTCAACCTCAAGAGCACAAGCTGCTTAATCGTCAGCCTCAGTGAATGCAGGCTGAATTTGGTCTTATTTGTACAAACCTAAAACGTTAAAAACAGCACTGGAAGCACAAACACAACAGAAGAACCAGATCCTTACTGTACCTGAATGAAATTAGTACAGCTTAATTAAAGCTTCTGCATAGCATCAGTYTGCCTCAAGGGTATTTTCATCACTGATAAACCTCCAAGATCAGGCACTGCGTATTTTATAAGAGGGAGAAGAAAATATGGTAATTTCAAACTCAAAATGCTAGCTGGGTAATTTAAATGATATTAGGCTATTATTTTTACACAGAAGCTGAAAAACTGTTTTGCTAAYGTATTCGTTCTCAAGATTCCCAACAAGTTACATGAAGTCTACACTCACCACATGCTGATCTGCATACTACAGRAAAGTCTCCACTCACTTAACTGATGCTGTTTAGGAATTATACTGGTAAGAAGGAACATACAGGAGGTTGTCATATCCTTGCACCAGGGGTTACAGCTATAACTACAAGCTAAACAATGACTGCAACCACAGCTCGACTGCTGCAGCAGAAAGAAATAGTATCCCCATTAGCCAAGCCATTTGCTAAAGCTAGGCACCAGGAAGAAACTAAGTCCTACCCACACAAGCAATAAAGAGTAGCGCTTGAAAAGCCCTACTTACGTATTTCAATTTCAGAACAATAAATATTTCCCTTCCTACAGTCTCTAAAACTGTGTGTTCCAGTGTGCCACGTCTTCCCTCAGCCAGGGCAGCCAAGGTACACACGAGCTGCGCTCTTTGGTGCTGCAATAGGAACAAAGAGGATACAGCATAGGTAAACACATTAATTTTCTTTGCTATACTACAGATGTAATTTGTGCCCTTAAGCACTGCACACTCATCTTGGTGCTGAAATATTAGGAAAACCTGTTCTGCAAGTTCAAACAGACCGCTAACAGGGGCTAAATAATTTTACTTCTAAATAAGCTAATTAGTTTCTCTAGTTACTACAGCTGATAAGGATCATCTTCTAACATTTATTTTAAAAGATACAACTTTAACAACAACTCGCATTTTTTGTTCTTGTTGCCATTGTTTCGACAGTATTACGCAGTAGGGGAGGTAACTTTCACAAATACTGCCAATATTATATCCTCTAACATGAACACTTGAAACTATTATTATTTTCCACACAAAATTGACAGTGATCAAAATCTTTAACCAGACATAAAATTAACATTTGTAGAACATGGGCAGATATTCCTGCAAGTCACATAAAGCGGTTTTGGGGAAAAAAAATAGTTACTGCATAAAAAAACAGTTGAGAAAAGCTACTTCTGTTTCCCTCCTTTTTTATTCTTTTTTTTTTTGTATGAAAGAACAATGGAGACATCCATCAGTATTTTTAAACACCCAACATCTGCTTTTTAAAACACAGTGCAAGAACTTAAAAACAGGCCAAAGGGATTCTTTTTCTGAGCACAAGAGATTTAATAAGTTAGTGGACAAACAGTTTCAACTGAGGAGACATTTCATAGGAAAAAAATGCAGGTTTTCTTCTGAAGAGAAAGGCAAATTTGGTTGTTTCCCAGCACAGGGGTAATGTACATATGCAAGAGGTAAATACTTATTTGGCCACAGACGATGCAAGCTCAGGTAGAATTTGCTTCTTTCTCCATGTCATCATCATCAACAACCTGAAAGGAAAATCCAGAAGTAGTTTAAGTGAGCAGTTTAATCTCCAGGCTCCCCATAGGATTACRTACTGAATTTATTACACCCCAACATTATCAGGTGCTTCCTTCTTGTGGAACTCAAAGAAAGAAGCTGTTACCTTATGTCACTTAGTAACAACAGGCAGAAGAAAACAGAAAGGAACTTAAAACAGAAAGGAACTCAAAATCATAAGACCATAAGGCCACTAGATAGCTGTACACACACACACACACACACACATACACACACACACACACCTATATATATAGTTAATAATCCAGCTACTCCAGCCTTCTACTTCACTTTCTTCACACTCAGTTTGTAATATAAATTCATACCCAGAGCTGTTCTGGGTATGAATTTCCAAGGAGGATTCTGAAGGAAACGGAGACATCTTCAAAGCATTCAAAGCTTCATGGAAATCAGTTTTTATCCAGAAAATTAAAAAGACAGAACATACTATTGAACTGTGCAGTAGCAGAACATTCTCTGGAGTTGAGCTTCACAATACTCTCCATGACTTGCTTAAAAAGATACGGCATTTTCTGGCTTGCAAATATTGCCTCTACACATGCTGTACTTTTGCTTAAACTGATGACCTGCATATGATGAAAAGGGACCTTTTCTCTGTTTAAAAGACAACTGCTTGCTCCTGTGTCACATCAGCCTACCTGTTCCACACCTTCCACTTCAGGGATGTAGAACTGCAGCATGTTCTGTATTCCGTTCTTCAGGGTTATGATGGAACTGGGACAGCTGGTGCACGAGCCCTGCAGCTTCAGCTGYACTATCCCATCCTCAAAGCCTTTATAAATAACGTCACCGCCGTCTTCTTGCACTGTTGGCCTAGCAGAAACACCCAGTGTAATGTGAACACGGCTGAAATAGACTTAAATCTAGAAATCTTTTAAAAGAGCTCCATTTGATACCATACCTGAAGAACTGGGCAAGGCCCGATCTCTCTACTCCCAAGTGGTTCAGGTTTCCAACAATATATATTTCAGTAACCTTTCTCACATTAATGGCTACTGTCTTTCCATAGTATATAAAGCAAGAAGCTTGAGAGCACTACAGGACAGAAACATCCTCATACTAGAACTTACTGTATACTGAATGCAGTGATATATAAGAACAGATATCTAAACTTAATGGCAGGGGTTGGATTCAGCCTTGAAAATCATTCTGATTTACCCTGAGGCTTTCCCTAGTCTTCATGTRAGGGTGCCAGGTCTCCGTTATGCGGCCAAATCCAGGTGCCTACGAGCATGTAATAGGTGCAGCTCCTACCACATGACACACGAGCATCTGTTCCCTGGCTAGGAATGGTGATAAGATATCCCCAAATACTGCCATAATCAAGYTCACACAAGGGAGAAAAAGAAAAAGCTCCAAATATTTAGAAGCCTAGTCCTGTTAAGGAGACCAGATCGCTTGAGATCAGCTCCCAGGGCTACTTGCATTTCTGCAGCCTGGACTCCTTTTGCAGCCAACAGATACCCAGCATTTTAAATGCATCCCCATGGCAACATTTTTCCAGACCAGGCTAAAAGCATCAAGTTACTCCAACAGAAGCTCTTTATACACATTTCCAAAATAACTATTTTGTGAACTCTAACACTCCTAACGAAATCATCTCAAAATCCAACGTATTTATTATCAACTCACTGTAGCAAATTACCTCCATTCCAGAAGGCCAACAGATGTAAGACAACTAAGAATTTGTCTTTATTATTTTGAAATAAGATTTTTAACATGCTACAGTACCTTTCAGATCTCCATTCCTTTCATCCGGCACATTCTGACTTCTTTGCCTAGATTTTTGATCAACTAAACAATAAACGTTCTGTGTGCACAAGTTTATATATAACTTATATAAACTGTCCCGCTGTATAAGTAAGTAAAATACAGTGCTGCTAGTATTTTCATCAACAGCTTCTTGATGCAGCAGGAAAAAGAACAAAGAGAGGGGAAGGAAACCAGTAACTTTAACAGAAATTCTGTGGGTTTTAGGAGAGGCCAGAGGGAAATCTAAGATTAACACCATAAGGATTTTAGGTCACCACACACCCAAAAAGAGTGGGGCTTCCTGAATACTGCTTTCTATCACGGCTTTGTATGAAATTATACTTGGGTAAAATGTTTCAGTGTTTAGTATACGCTTGGGAAAAACATTTCAAGGTATTTCTGCCCTTCTGCCTCCTTCCTTTGAGGCTCACTAACTAGTGCCATGTGTCAGCTCAGAGATAACCACAGAGTATTTTAAAATAAACCTCCTACATTTTTCTAAATTACAAAATATGTACATAAAAACTTGAATTCGTTGCATTTTCTGGAAAAAAAAAGAAGATGAATTCCATGATTTTGACCCAAGTACAAGTTTCTGATCACTATAATTTGTGAGCTGGCAAAGGAGGTGCCATAAGATRTAAGACTACTCAGAAGGTGCCATAAGATGTAAGACTAYTTGGAAAATACATCAGGTATTCTCACTGCATCCAGAATGTCACAGTTCTTATTTCTAAATCAAGCTGTGTTAAAATAAAGATGAAATGGCATAAGCATAAAATCCACTAAAGCTCAGGCAGGCAGGAAAAGCTGTTGGTGAGTCTTCCTCCGTGTATGGTCAATCCAGGTATAACCTATTTTGCCTGAAACACTTAGAAGGATAGGTAGAAGGAAGACAGAGATGAATAAMCAGAGAAAAGAGTTTACCACAAAACAAAAGATAACGCTGTTGTTTTCATTATTTAGCAATAACTAGGTTAAATCCAATGGGCCCTGTTTAAGTGAACTATTCAAGCTGCTGTATTCTAAAACCACTCAGCAATATGGACACTGTTCAGCACAAAGTTTGTTTAAACTGGAAAATCRGACAAAAAAAAAAGAGCAAACAGTATTCACAGCCCTAGCCAATTCTGCAGTTTATACTACCACGCTTGACACTGAACTGTGAAATTACCATCAACGAGGCAAAAATGCACTGCTCTCCAAATCATTCCAAAACCCTAGCCCACCTCCCTCCATGCAGCAGTTTGCCTAGTTTACCTTATTCTTGTGTCCAGTAGTTCTTTGATCATTAATACAACTTCATCATCATCTTCTGATGGAGCTTTGGAGGAAAGAAAAAAAAAAAAAGTGGAGCAGCAAATCAAAACACAGGAGGACCCTCAAAAAACAGAATAAGATACTGGGCTCTTGCTAAAGAATTCAATTTACCTGTGTCTGTCCTAGGTGCCTCTTCAGTAACTACAGGTAAGCCAGAGGCAAAGAAATCCATTATAGTTGCATAAATATCTGGTTTCAGCAAGTTCCAATCCAGGTCTTCACTCTCCTGTGAAAATCAGAGGAAAATGAATAAAAACACAGTSTCTGCCTCTCAGTCATAATAAATTACATCAGCTTCTGTCTTATGTTGAAMATATAATGGTGATTGTGTTTGACGTATGGATTTTATTGCACAGTTTTGTGAAGTGTGGCTTGGTCAAAAATGTTTAGTAAGACTCAATTTAAAATAGTCAACAGGAAGGTTTCCTTGTTTGAAAGCCAAATGCTATTAAAAAAAACACTAAAACACTAAAAACACTCAGCCACTAACAACTGAAAAATAACGTTTCCCCCATGCATTATTTGACACGTTTTTGTCAAATCGCCTCAGAGACTCAAATTAGAGTTTGGTTCCAATTGATTCTGAGGCAAAGTGTTATTCACGGAATGGCCCTGTGGTCTCCATACAATAAAAACGCAACTGCACGATTACTACGTAAAGCCTTCCTTCTGCTGCTATCAACGCCACACCTTAAATAAACACAGCACTGCCTACAACGTTCTTGACGCCAATCATTAAACAATTTAATCTGGAAGAGATCTTGGGAAACCACCTAATCCAGCCCCCTGTTCAAAGCCAAGGCAACTTCCAAGCTGAGCAGGCTGCTCAAGGCCTCATCCAGTCACTCGACCATTTGCACAAGCAGAGAATCTACAGCTTACTTTGGCAACCTGTTATCTATACTATAAGCATCTGTATGTATTGTGCAGTTGAAAAGCAGTTCATATTTTAGCATATTTAAATTGCTGCTCTGTTTACCTTTGTGACTGTAATGAAGTCTGGCCCAAAGAAAACACTTTTAACTCCTTCAATTCGGAATAGCTGTCTAAAACAAAACAAAGCGCACACTTCAGCCAAACTCTTAAGATTTATTTAATCCACTCTACAAAATAAAAGTTCTAGAATACATTTCTGGAGAAAAAGAAGCACATCTAATAACATAACCATCAAAAGAAACTGCCAGCTTCACTCTTTTCTTTGGAAAATTCATTTTCTATTTGAAGGTAAATG